CCTCTCTGAACATTGTAACAAATGTGGCTTAAGAAGCACAGTGTTAACATGGTAGTAAAACAAGGTGATATGTTGACTTTGAGCTTTTAATTACACATATTTCTTTAGAAATGAGTTGCACAATTGAGAAGGCACTTGCTGATGCGAAAGCTCTTGTTGAAAGACTGAGAGATCACGACGATGCCGCAGAATCCCTGATTGAGCAAACCACAGCTCTCAACAAGCGAGTAGAAGCCATGAAGCAGGTTTGGTTTTTCTTTTTTTGTTGACCCATTATCAAAGCAGTCACTGACAATCACAAATCACTGCCTAGTTAGTGTAGTTTTTGCAGTGTTCCCTAACATTTTAAAGTAGCTTGACTTGTGTATTTCAATTTTGTTGTGTTCAGGTGACATAGGTATATGTATAGATATATTATAAAACTTGTAGATTTAATCACTTTTTTTCTGACAGTTACACAATTGAGATTTGATCCCTAATTTTTCTGACAGTTGCCCACTTGAGTTTAGAAAATAAAATCATTTGTCAAGACTAGGTACATTTGACAAAGACCATACTAATATACTGACTCACATTTTGCTCAGTCTTATATAATGTAGAAATGCTCTTTTTTTTTTTTTAATAAAAATACTTAGGTGATGCTTTGTAAAAGTGGTAGTTGTTTAAAATGATGCAAAGCAATATCTAGTTTACACCCTGTGCAGTTATTGCACTCATACCTGCAGCCACATTTTTCACTGAATGCTTCCCATTAAAGAAATTAGAAGAGCTTCACTTGCTGCTATCCTTACTGTTGTATAACAGAATCTTCCAGTTAGCAAGGAGTTTACTATTTTAAACTCTGATAAAAATTTCCAACTCTGAGAATTATAAAATATCTGATACCATGATGGAAATCAGAGGGGGAAAAAAACTATATTCATAGCCAATGCTCTCAAAACTCCTTCATTTTGTAAAAGGAAGCAACCTTGCAACAGTGCCTTTAGCAGTGCTACTGGAAATAGTGGAGCCCACTTTATTTTATTTTGCCACTATCTTGCCCTAAACAGATTGCCTGAGTCCCTGATTGTCCAGCTATATTCAGGAACTCTAGTAAACATATACGTAGTTTTGAGTTATAAAAGAAGGAGTTTGACATTTTCAGTTAAGAATTAGCAGGAATATTATAATGAATGCATTATTGTCTCATAAGAATGCCTTGAAAATAAATGAGTGCTATTTTAAAATTAGATGCTCTTATTTTTACATGGAAAATTTTTTTGCATACTTTTGGACAGGTTCTATTCTTATTATTGAAATATAAATCATATACCATAAAATTTACCCTTTTAAAGGGTACATACAGTTCCTTACATCTTGCTGTAGTCACAGGTTGGGCAACCATAACCACTATATGATTCCAGAAAATTTTCATTATCCCCAAAACCTTAAATCCATTTAGCAGTCTCATCCTAGTTTCCCCTTCCCCCATTTGCTGGCAACTGCTAATTTTTCCATCTCTGTAGATTTCCCTCCCTATTTTAGACATTTTATATGAATGGAATGATAACAATATTTGGGTTTTGTGACTGACTTCTTAACATTATGTTTTTAAAGTTCAGCTGTGTTGTAGCATGTATCAATACTCTGTTCCTGTTTTTTGCTAAATAATATTGCATTATAAGGATACAGCACGTTGTTTATCCATTCATCACTTGATGGGCATTTGAATTGTTCTACTGTTTGGCTATTAAGAATGATGTTAGGCCAGGTGTGGTGGCTCATGCCTATACTCTTAGCACTGTTAGAGGCCAAGGCAGGTGGATTGCTGGAGCTCAGGACTTTGAGACTAGCCTGAGCAAGAGCAAAACCCTGTCTCTCAGTATAATCAAGTATTGGCTGGCTGGGTGTGGTGGCTCACGCCTGTAATCCTAGTACTCTGTGAGGCCAAGGTGGGTGATTGCCTGAGCTCACAGGTTTGAGACTAGCCTGAGCAAGAGTGATACCCTGTCTCTAAAAATAGCCAGGTGTTGTGGTGGGCGCCTGTAGTCTCAGCTACATGGGAAGCTAAGGCAAGAGAATTGTTTGAGCCCAAGAGTTGGAGGTTGCTGTGAGCTGTGATGCATGGCACTCTACCAAGGGTGATAAAGTGAGACTGTCTCAAGAAAATAAAAGAATGCTGTGAACATTGAGTACAAGTTTCTGTATAGACATGTTTTCAGTTTTCTTGGGTATATACCTAAGAGTAGAATGGATACGGGATCTGCCAGATTGTTTTCCAAAGGAGCTACACCATCCTACTCTGTCACCCAGGCCAGAGTGCAATGCTGCGATCATAGCTCTCTGCAGCCTGGAACTCCTGGGCTCCAGCGATCCTTTTGCCTTTTTTGATTAGAATTGTCCTAGTGATAGTGAAGTGCTGTCTTGTTATTGAATTGTATTTCCTTCATGACTAATGACACTAAGCATCTTTTCATGTAGTTATTAAGCATTCGTATACTTTTTTTAGAAAAATGCCTATTCAAATCATTTGCTGATTTTTTTATTAGGTTATTTTCTTTTTATGGTCAGATTTTAAGATTCTTCAGAATATATATGCTGGATACTAGTCCTTTATGTGATATTTACGTATTTATTTTTATATATCACATTTGTATACTTACATGTCAGATATAGATGTAATAAATATTTTCTCCTTAATAAAAATTTCTTTTCATTAGTATCAGGAAGAAATTCAAGAACTTAATGAAGTTGCAAGACATCGGCCACGGTCCACATTAGTCATGGGAATCCAGCAAGAAAACAGACAAATCAGAGAACTGCAACAAGAGAACAAAGGCAAGACATGTTATTACTGCTGTATACATATGGCAAGTCAAAAGAGAGCTTTAATCTGCAGTTGCACTGTTGATTTGGGACCAATTAATATTTAAATGAGAAAATAGCTAACTGAAGTTACTTTTTGACATTAATCCCAGTTCTAGTCCACATGTCTACGACGTATTTATTACCCTTTATCCTGTCTTACGTAGGAATGTTTACCTTGCATGGCGTCTTTTTAGATTCTCGCCCTCAATATCCAGTTCGTGCCATTTTTGTTACCTACTCAGGTTCATTCTCTGCACACCTCTGCCTTGGCCCCAGCTTAGATGCTCATAGTCTCTTGCCTGAACAGTCCTAACTGGTCTCCCTGATTCCAGCCTTTTTCCCTTCCAGTCCGTCTTCAACACAGCATCTGATTGATTTTTCAAAATAAAATTGATCAAGTTATTTTTCTCGAAAACTTTGATCATATCCTTATTTCCTAATACAAGAATCCTCCAAGTCAACTTTCATACTTCTTTTCTACCTTTTCATACAGTTCTCTAAACCTCAAATCCTTTGCTCCTGCTGTCCCAAAGCAGTTCCTAAACACATCATCCACTTTCATGCCTCCCTGCTCAGCCTACCTGTTTCTTCATCGTCAGCTGAAAGAATTCAAATTCATTTCAATACATAGTTACATAGTTCTGTGGTGCTTGCACCGATTTCTCCCCACAGACATTTCTTAATTGTGTTTGTATTGTGTTTTACTTTGCACTTGTTTTCTCCACTAGACTCTGAGCTCAATTGTCTTTTGATATTCTTAATGTAGGGGGCATTGTCTTTTATTTAGTTGCCGTACAGTATATGTTTGTTGAAATGATTCTCAAAAATACAGGTTTAAAATGGCCATTTAAGGGTAGCGCCTACAGCTCAGTGGGTAGCATGTACTGAAGGTGGCAGGTTCAAACCCCGCCCTGGCCAAATTGCAACAAAAAATAGCCAGGCGTTCTGGTGGGTTCCAGCTACTCGGGAGGCTGAGGCAAGAGCTGGAGGTTGCTGTGAGCTGTAACACCCTGGCACTCTACTGAGGGCAACAAAATGAGACTCTGTCTCTAAAAAAAAAAAAACCAAAAAAAAATGGCCATTTAAAAAATTAAAGTTTTTAATTTAACTTCATTTTATGTGGTAACTTTTGTTGTTATATGGCTAGATTTTTATGTACGTGTGTCATGTTTTCTATTGAAAATATCCTATTTATTAGTTGCTTTTTTTGATAAATGTAATATGGAACAGAAAACTTTGTATACCTTTAACTCAAGTGTGAATATAATACACTGTTATTCTTGACAGAATTGCGTACATCCCTGGAAGAACATCAGTCTGCCTTAGAACTTATAATGAGCAAGTATCGAGAACAAATGTTTAGATTGCTAATGGCTAGCAAAAAAGATGATCCGGGTATAATTATGAAGTTAAAAGAACAGCACTCCAAGGTAATCTATTCTGTAAACGTGACTTGGAATGGAAAAGAGGGACAATTGGTTGTGTTCTCATTTAAAAAACAAGTCACAAGAATCTAATAATGCCATTATTTTTTAGAGACAGAGTCTCACTTTATCACCTTCGGCAGAGTGCTGTAGCATCACAGCTCACAGCAACCTCCATCTCCTGGGCTTAGGCGATTCTCTTGCCTCAGCCTCCCAAGTAGCTGGGACTATAGGTGCCTGCCACAACGCCTGGCTATATTTTTTTTTGTTGCAGTTTGGCTGGGGCCAGGTCCAAACCCACTACCCTCGATATATGGGGCCGGCACCCCACCCACTGAGCACAGGCACCACCCTCATAATGCCATTTTAATGTGATATTGATTGCTTCAACTTTTTAGTTGATATTTTCTGCATTTCCTTATTTTTTCATTTCTTTATATGTATCATTTTCTGTTTTATTTACTCTTCTAACTCCCATTGTTTCTGAGTAACTTGAATATATATGTTCAAAAATAAACTTAATTTTGGAAATAAAGGTAAGTGTCCAACTCAATTATTTTTATAAGGTTATCTGTTTTTAAGAAATATTTCTAATAAATTTTTATATTGAGTTCTGTTGCTAAAACAAAAATTGAAATACTGAAATTTTTTTTTTAAATCCGAAAGCAGCTTCAGGTAGATTTGTTTTTCTTCAGTGTGTATTCTGAATGAGGCTAATTCATCATCAGGGGTGCCCAGCCTGCAGCATGCCAGTCGCCTACTGATTTTGTGAGGACTTTTTTGCTTATCTGTGGTATTGATATCATGAAAAGTATGCAGGGACCTTTTTTATTGTTAATTAGCTTTCTTTAGTGTTTGTGTATTTCTTGTGTGGCCCAAAACAACTGTTAGTCTTCCAATGAAAAAAGGAAAAAAAGGTTGGATACCTCTGGCTCTAGATTATAAATGAACCTGTTTATAATGGAAAAACAGTGGGGTTAGGGAGAAAAAAAGAACTAACATATTAAAATTTTACTCCCTTCCTCATATATCGCATATCAGTTGATACCATTTTTTAGAGACAAATTGGAAGTGGTTAGAATGTAATGTTTTTCCTGCTGTTCCTCTTACTTGTTATCCCTGTGTCTGTTCCCTTTGATGGCAACTGCAATGGAGACAAGTGGAATAATCCTTTCTCATTACATTTTATTTTAAACTAAATTTTAACTCCTGGTATGAAATAAAAATATTAGACTAGATTGTAATAACTAGGCCATTATCTGTATTGGTTAATGGTGAGCTAACTATTATTAGTTGTAACTAATACTATTAAAGAAATTGTGATTATTGTAAGACATTTATCTTTCTTAATTATTAAAAAAAAATTTAATTCTTTAAAATATTTCTCCCATATTGGTGTGTGTAGGTCTTTTAAATTATTAATTCTCGTAAATTAAATACCTAATAAATAGCTTTTTGTCTGACACCTTTATATATTAGGGGACTTAATAATAGATACCTTTTGGGTCAGCTAGTAAAATAATAAATGAATAAATCTGATCTTAATATCATCTGATTATGTTTTCCATCTCCTAACTAAATGGAAATAACCAATGGAATATTTAAGTGGCAATCCTTTGAATATGAAATGTAATGAGACCATTATAAAAATCATTTAATTTATTTGGATTTAAATTTATAACTTGTAGAGTTTTCTTAAAGGTATATAGAGGAATTGATTGACTTAAAATTTTTGGTAAAATAAACGTAATCTTGAGAGATTCCAAAAGGTTACTTTGTTTTGTAAACTTAAAAAATAAAAATTAGAAAATCTAAAGAAAGAATACTGTAAATGTTTAGGATGAGTTATTGCAGCTTGTTGTTCCTACCTGGTAGCAACTATGACAGAAGCAAAATGTTTTCTAAAACACATTAGAATTTACCAGAGCTGGTTTATTAATTAGCAAAGTTAAACATTCCCTAAGAAAGGTATAAACCATCCTTTTTCATTATGGAGATTGAATTCTTCGTTTAAGTGCTGATGACCCTTGCCTTCCATAAAATGACTGTTCAGTTACTTGTTATTAATTCTAACTAATACATATTAATGTTTGTGATTTTGATTTTTCCCAAAAAGGAGATACTTCAACTCAATTAAATAAACATTTATTAACACTTGCACTGGGTTAGTTATTATGGGCAACAATAAGAGGAATGAATGAATGAGTTATATCACTCTACCATACCAGCTTGCAGTGTAATGGGAGTTACAGATACAAATATAACTATCTAATATAAGGTAGGGTGTGATGAATCCTAAAATAGAGATATGAATTGTTACCAGAATACTAGAGGGAGCTATATTAGTTACCTTGAGGAAAGTCTGGAAGGTTGTCAAAGAAAGTTAGAAAATCTGTCTAAATCCAACCTTGAATTAACTACAGCAAAGGCAACAAGCAGAAGCAGGTGAGCAGAGACCATACAGAGATGTATGAAGAATGTGCAAAAGTCTGGGATTCTAGAATGTGTTTAGGTACTAGTGCT